CCGCCCGGTGACAGGTGCCAGCGCCGCCTCCGCCACCGCCACCGCCACCGCCGGGCGCTTGGAAATTTCTAGAGCGCTGGGAATCTCTGACGCGTTGTTTGCTGCCTTGCAGGTGGCGAGGGCGCTTCTCCGCCCGGGAGTGGGACGCCGCGGTCCCCGGCTCTTCTCCAGATAGTTTGCTGAGAAGTTTGGGCAGAGCAGCCGGAGGGTGAGGTGTGGCGTTGGTTCCTCAATGAGGTATGCGCCCGGACTCCGCCGCGGGACCCCTCCGCCTGCCGCCCGCCACGGCGGGGCCGGCGCGCTCGCCTTCCTTTGCTTGCTGTTGTTCTGTGGAACCGTCTTGTAAACTGGTGTGATCTCTCACACGTAGAGTGCTGTAAATATTGGACAGTCATGCCTCCTCACTGAAAACATTCGGAACTAGGTTTTTCTTTTCCCCCAGGCCATGCATGTGTGTGTGTATAGACACATGTTGTATGTGTACATATGTTTCATTTATACGTAGATGCATATATCTTTATACAGTGTGCGTTGTGTGTTTGTACCGGGCCTTGAATTCAGGGCCCGGGTTGCTATATCCCTTAGCTTTTTTCTCTCAGGGCTGGTGCTCCACCACTTGAGCTCTACAGCCTCACTTCGAGCTTTTTGGAGGTAAGAGTCTCAGAAACTTGTCTCCCCCCCCCCCCCCCCCGGCTGGTTTTTTGAACCTTGATCCTCAGCTCTCAGCCCTCTGAGTAGGCATGAGCCACCATCCTGAAAGACAGTGAGTGGCTTTTTTTTTTCCCTACACCATTCATTAAGGTAAGTTTTTTGTTTTTTTGTTTTTTTTTTTGTTGGTCGTGGGTCTTGAACTCTGGGCCTGGGCGCTGTCCCTCAGCTCTTCAGCTCAAGGCTAGTGCTCTACCACTTGAGCTACAGTGTCACTTCCGGTTTTCTGGTGGTTTATTGGAGATAGGAGTCTCACGGTCTCTCCTGCCCGGGCTGGCTTTGAACCGCGATCCTCAGATCTCAGCCTCCTGAGTAGCTAGGATTACAGGCTTGAGCCACCAACGCCCGGCTGGTAAGTTTTTATAGGAAATGGCTTTTGACTGTAACCAGAATTATTTTGTTAAGAAATTTGACTTGTAGACATACAGATATTTCAGAAACCTCATAACGAAGTAAAATATTGTATGTGAAAGTTAGGGAAATATATATATATATATTTCTTTCCTCAACAAGCTCTGCCACTAAAATTGTCAAGTAGCCAAATTCTATTTAATGAAACAAATTTTTGTTATTTCCCGTAGAAGGGATTGAATTCAGAGCCTTTCATGGCTGGCCCCCACCATTTGAGCCACTCTTCCAGTCCCATTCACTTTTTGTTGTTGCTGTTGGTCTTGGGGCTTGAGCTCTGGGCCACGGCGCTGACCGGGATCTTTTCAGCTCAAGGCTAGCACTCTGCCACTTGAGCCACAGTGGCACTTCAGTTTTCTGGTGGTTAATTGGAGAAAAGAGTCTCACAGACTTGCCTGCCTAGGCTGGCTTTGAAACATGATTCTCAGATCTGAGCCTTCTCAGTAGTGAGGATTACAGGCTTGAGCCACCTGCACCCAGCCCCATTCACTTTTTGTTGGTTATTTTGGAGGTAGAGTATCCAGGATAGCCTTTCCTGCTAGGACTGGTCAAACTTTAATTTTTCAGATCTCCACTCCCTAAGTAGCTAGGATTATAAGCCTCTGTCTTGAGATATTCTTGAGATCATCTTGTCATCAAAGGTCTTTTACCTATATAATACTAATCTGGTAACTTCTAGCACTACAGAGTAAAATGACAGTTGTATGCAAAAATTAATTTCCTTTGTTCATGAGAGAATCCTGTTAGTACCTGTTTGTTAATTTTGTTTAGCTTTTTCAACCCACAGAAATAAGAGAATAATATGTGGAAAAAATGGAGATTGGGCATGCCATGAAGTTCACAGTGTTTTCAGTGAATATATTGCAAGTAAAGTTTTAGTATATACTGGGCACTGTAAGTTGTAATCCTTAGTTGATTTTTAAGTGGTTTGTGTGTCTGTGTGTTCGGCTTTTTTGTGCTGTTCCTTGGGCTTGAACTTGGCCTGGGCACTGTCCCTAAGCTTTTTTGCTCAAGGCTAGCACTCTATTATTTAAGCTGCAGCTTCGCTTCCAGGTTTTTGGTGGTTAATTGGAAATAAGAATTTCACAGAATTTACTTCCTAGGCTGGCTTCAAACCACAATCCTCTTGAGTAGCTAGGATTATAGGCAAGAGCCAACAACGCCTGTCTGGAACCTTCATTTTTAAGAATACAGTGAAAGATACTGGTCAGTTGTGTTATATGAGGAATAGAACAGAAAATAATTTTTTGTTCAATAAATAGTAAATCAGTGATAATGAGTGCCATTTCATTTTATGCTTTCAGTTTTTTTTATACTGCATGGGGATTTGAACCCAAGCTTTGCATATACAGTGCAAGAGCTCCACAACTGAATCTACATATGACTCCAACTTCTCAGTTTATTAAAAAACATCTGATTACACTTCAAAAAGGCACCACTAGATATGGTTGCAGATGCTTGAAGTCTCATTCTGGATGCTGAGGCAGGAGGATTTTGACTTTGAGGCCATTCTGGACTGCTAGAGAATTCAAGGCCAGTGTAGGCTTTGTAGTGAGATCCAATACCTCACCTATTGGCATTTACATTGTACTAATTTTTTTCAGGCTAATATATATTTATTATTGTGGTCCCCTTGACTGAGATCTATCCTGTCTTCAGTGAGGTAATCTAGGTGGGGGAGGAAGCCATAATGGTGGTGGTCTTTGATAGAAATCAAAAGAACCAGTCAATTAGAAGTCCTGCATGTGGTTTAGTCCATTACTTTTTAGAAACCATCAATTTAAGTATGCCATGCACCCTTATTCTTTTACGTCATTTTTCTTTCTCTCTCTCTTTTTTTGGCACTAGGGATTGAATATAGGTCCTTAACAAGTGCTCTACCACTTGAGCTATACCTTCAACCTTATTTGTTTTTATTTTTATTTTTTTATTGTTTTTGTTCCGGTCATGGGGCCTGAACTCTGGGCCTGGGCACTGTCCCTCAGCTCTTCAGCTCAAGGCTAGTGCTCTACCACTTGAGCCACAGCACTACTTGCGGCTTTTTTCTTTTTTGCTTATGTGGTACTGAGGAATCGAACCCAGGGCCTCATGAAAGCAAGGCAAGCGCTCTACCACTGGTAGCCACCTTCCCAGCCCTGTTTTTATTTTGATTTTGAGAGAAGGTTTCTATAACTTTCTGGGATAGCTCAGCACCATCTCCTCCCTCTGCCTCACAGGTAGCTGAGATTACTGGCATGTGCCAGTACTCGTGGTCTAAATCAGCACTTTAAATTTTATACATAAGGGCTGGGATGTAGCTCAGTGGCAAAAGCGCTTGCCTAGCAAGTGCAACGTCCTGGGTTCGATCCCCAGTACCAAAAAAGAAAAGACAAAAAAAATTTATACATAAATTTCATAACACATACATAAATTTGCTATCTAAACAAAAGTAGTTATGTTGACGGTTGGTAGAATGTCGCTTAGGATAAACAGCTTTGAACTGTTAATAATTATTGTTAATCTACATTGATAATATGGGAATAGAGATTGATCTGTGGTACACTTTACATTTTTGTTTTTCTCCTCCTAGAATACATATGCAGTGCATAGTTATATATGTACTTGGAGAATATCACATCTCAAAAGTACAACTAACTTTGATAGATTTATCTTTATGTGTCAAATCCTGGAGTATTTTGTGAGGTATAGAAAGAAGCCCTGTTCATCGTCTTGAAATTAGAACCCTAGGTGCCAGGCACAACAATAAAGAGATAATGTTAATAAAGCCCATTTAATAATAGAAGTAATTAAATACAAAGTGTGGAAATTGTTTTACAGAAGAGGGAATGATTAAGTTCAGTTCAGACAGTGATTCATAGCGATGACTAGCCAAGGAGCAGGGTTTTCAGAAGTGAATTGAAGTCTTCAGTGGAAGGGGAAGGGCATTGTAAAACAGGAACAAGTAAACTAGTAATGAGTTCACAAAATTCCACTTGGTTTTCCTGGAGTACATATAAACTTGAAAAGTCTGATTTCATTAAACTTTTTAACACCACTGCACTAGCAAGTGTACAGAAATCAATAGTTTTTACAATGGTAATCATTAATATAAAATACAATAGAATAATAAAAACTACATTTATATAATGAGTTGGCTGCATATTTGTAATTACAGGCTTTTTATGTGTTTCTTTGAAACAATCACCTGAAAAATTTTAACATTAATTTATTTTTATTGTTATTATAAAGATGATGTATAGTTTTGTTTACTTTTTATATTAGCTTTGAAATTTTGCATTTTAGAAAACAAATTATTGAATTTTTTTGTTTTTGTGGAGCAGGGAATAAAATCCAGGGTATTGTGCCTGTTCAGCAGATGTTCTACCACCAAACTACACCCCCAGCACCGAAATTATTTTCAAAAGGAGGCTCATAGGGAAGAGAGGGAAGAATGCAAAATAATTGTTATATTTCTTGACCAGAAACATTATTTATGTAGTATTTTAGTACTATATATGTGCCTCCTTAATATACATAAGGCATAGCCGGGTGCTGGTGGCTCATGCCTGTAATCCTAGCTACTCAGGAGGTTGAGATCTGAGAGGATCATGGTTAAAGCCAGCCTGGGCAGGAAAAGTCTTATTGCCAATAAAACACTAGAAAACCAGAAGTGGCACTGTGGCTCAAGTGGTAGAGTGCTTGCCTTGAGCTTAAGAGCACAGGGACAGCTCCCAAGCCCAGAGTTCAAGCCCCATGACTGACAAATAAAATTAAAAATACACACACACACACGCATATGTGTGTGTGTGTGTGTGTGTGTGTGTGTGTATACACATACATACATGAGGCACCAAATTTAGACCAAGTAATTTAGTGGCAGTCCATTATACTTCCATTTATATTGTATGCCGTAATTATAGTTTCTGCGTATGTATAAATGAACAGATTAAGTATCTGAATTTTAGAGACCAAATATGTTTGAAAGAATGGGAAAGCAGAAGGAAAGGACCTGTATTTGATGCTATTTATCCTTATACCTCTAATATATGACTGGATTGAAGGTGCAGAAGTTTAGGGCAGAAGACTAAAGGAATATTAGCCTAGCTAAGTCCTTTATATGTTTTATTATTTTATTATATTTGTAGGGGGGGGGATATTGCATCAGATGCTCTGCCATTTAAGAGACACTTGTAATCCTTTTTGCTTTGGGTTACTTTTTAGATAGGATTTCACAATTTTGTCATTGGCTGGCCTTGACTAGGAGTCTCTTAACTCAGGCATCCCTTGCATCTGGGATCACATGAGTGCACCATTATGACTGGCTTATTTTCTGAGTTAGAGGTCTTAACTAACTCTTTGCTTGGGTTGGCCTCAGACGGAGATCCTCTAGATCTCTTCCTCTCAAATTGCTGAGATTACAGGAGTGAGCCACCATGCCTGGCATAAAGTAGTATTTTCAAAAATCTGATGTCTTGCAAGGTTTTCAAAAAAGGCACGAAGGAGTTCTTGGATTGGAAAGTCCATGAGATTCTTATCTCCAGTTCACCACCACTATGCTCCTCAGATCTCAGCCTCCAGAGTAGCTAGGGTTACAGATGTGAGCTACTGGCACGCTGGCTGTGTTTTTTGTTTGTTTGTTTTTGGTCGGCTGTGGGGCTTGAACTCTGGGCCTGGGCGCTGTCCCTCAGCTCTTCAGCTCAAGTGGTAGAGCGCTCGCCTTGAGCTCTTCAGCTCAAGGTGAGCGCTCTACCACTTGAGCTACAGCGCCACTTCCGGTTTTCTGGTGGTTTATTGGAGATAGGAGTCTCACGTTCTCTCCTGACCAGGCTGGCTTTGAACCAGCACCTGGCTGTGTTTTTTGTTTGTTTGTTTGTTTCCTAATACTGAGATTTGAACTCCAGATGTCATGCTCAGTAGGCAAGCACTCTATCACTTTTCTCAACCCTCTTTTTATAGTCTTAACTGTGTTTAAAGAGCAGAAGTTGTGAAGTTATCCGTATAGTATAGATAAGATGCATTTTCATTCTTTGCATGCAAGTATCCTATTTTCTCAACACCATTTGTTGAAGAGACTTTCTTTTTCCTGTTGTGGAGTCTTGATATTATTTTAGATAACGAGGATTTGTTTCAGGGTTCTTAATTCTGTTACATTGGCTTGTATGTCAGTCTTTATGCTATTTTCTATTTTTTTATTTTTTGTCAGTCATAGGGCTTGAACTCTGGGCCTGGGTGCTGTACCTGAGCTCTTCAACTCAAGGCAAGCCCTCTACTACTTAAGCCACAGTGCTACTTCCAGTTTTCTGCTAGTTTATTGAAGATAAGAGTCTTACGGACTTTATTGCCCAGGCTGGCTTTGAACCTTGATCCTCAGATCTCAGTCTCCTGAGTAGCTAGGATTACAGGCACCCAGCTGAAACTTTTTTCTTTTATGTCAAATATTAAAGGATTAGTTTCTAGATGGGTTGGATGTTGGTTTGGGTTTCAAAACATTTTTTGCAATGGAATCAAATATACTTAATTACATTCCAAATTCATTGTGCCAGATCCTGTACCTCTGAGGATGTTTTAGACATTTACGAAAATTTAATGCATGCAAGACACATTTCAATCAAATAATAGAATACTCACAGATGGTTATTTTGATGTACTTATGCTGTACCACTTACTGTACTTAGCATTTTACATATATTGTTTTATTCAGATTTCACAACTCAGTGGACCTATTTTACAGGGGAAATAGTAGTTCATGGTAAGTAATAAATTGGGTTTAATTAAAATTGGAAGGAGAGCTATAAGGGTCTATATAGAACTGGATGGAAGCCAGGTACTGGTGGCTCACACCTGTAATCCTAGCTACTTGGGAGACTGATCTGAGGATCACAGTTCAAAGCCAACGTGGGCAGGAAAGTCAAGGAATCCCCAACTAACTACCAGAAAACCTGAAGAGGCATTGTGGCTGAAAGTGGTAGAGTTATATATAGCAAGTGGCTTGTGGCTTAAAGTGATAGAGTGATAGCCTTGAGTAAAAGAGTTTAGGGAGGGCTGGGAAGGTGGCTCAGTGGTGGAGCGCTTGCCTTGCATGCATGAGGCCCTGGGTTCGATTCCCCAGCACCACATAAGCAAAAAGAAAAAAGTGGAGTGGCGCTGTAGCTCAAGTGGTAGAGCGCTAGCCTTGAGCTGAAGAGCTGAGGGACAGCACCCAGGCCCAGAGTTCAGGCCCCATGACCGGACCCAAAAAAAAAAAGAGTTTAGGGACAGTGCCCAGGCTCTGAGTTCAAACCCCATGATCCTCCTTCCCCCCCAAAAAAAGAACTGATGGAAAGAAATAAATACTGCATTTAAAAAATAGTATACAGAGAATATAAAACAATGTACGGTATTAGGACAGACACTAAATGTTGATATAAAAACTTCAAAGTCCTTTTCAGTATTTCTAAGAAGAAAGTTATGCTTGATTCATTGTATATAAATTTTAAGTATCAAGTTTGTCTATGAAATAACAGTTCCTGATGTAGACTAGATGATTTCTTCATATTGAGTGTGTCTTAAAATTTTGTTTGTATGAGTAGGTAATAAAAACAAACCATTTTGTTGTCTTAAGTATTCAGTAATTTTTAACTGTTGAAATTCTTTTTAAAAATCTAAAAGCTTAGCCAAGCACTGGTGGTTCACACCTTTAATCTTAGTACTCAGAAGGCCAAGATCTGAGGATTATGGTTCAAAGCAGCCCAGTTTGTCAATCACTTATTTCCAATTAACCACCACCAAAAAAGTAGTGGTGTGGCACTCAAGTGGTAGAACCAACCTTAATCCAGAAAGCTTAGGGACAGCATTCAGGCCCCTAAGTCCAAACCTAGTACTGGCACACGTGCGCGCGCACACACACACACTCCCCCCCTCTCATAAAGCTCTATATCAAAAATGTAAAACAAAATTTCTTGTAGTAAAATAAAAGGATTTCAAATTCAGTTGGAATTTCTGACTTAAAGCATTTCAAAATAATGATTAAGCCCTAGTAGAAAGTATATTTGTTGTTTTTAGAGTTATTTTGCAGCTAGATTTTATGCTACCACAAGAGCATGATGCTGACAAATATGGTGTAAATACTAATAGAAATTTAAGGTCATGGCTTAGAACTTTGTTAACCAGGAGATTTTGGGCTCCCCTACTTCTGACATTCTGTTCTTTCTACTGTGTGCCTTGCTCTTTTGGGCACCAGGAATATTAATTTTCTCAACAGTTCCTCTGGCCTGTGGCCCTGTGGTGATGGCAGCAGTGTATTTCTGGAGGTGGAACACTTGCCTGGTCACAGCTGCAGAGCAGCATGTGCAGGAGCTACTCCTAGACAAGTACTAGGGGAAGTTCCTTGCATCAGGTGACTAGACTAGAGGCAGTGACTTATTCAGGGTTTTCCTGGTTTCTGAAGGCCGGAAAGAAACTTTGAGGTCATATCGTCAAGGAATCTCTACCTTATGCAACTGAAAGAAAATGTTTGTTGCCTTTGGAGAGATGTTTTAGAGTAGACATTTAACACATTCATGACAACCTAAATAAAAAATCTGTAATTTGGAAAATCAGTCTCCTATGATGGAAAAGAATATGTCACAAGCCAAATTATACTTCAGTAACAACCTGACAAATCCCAAAACCATTTCTTTCTTGCTCAAGCTACATCAGTTAGTAAAAGGCTTGTTCATTGTAGTTTCAGAATTCTCTCAGATAGGCCTAATAGAGACCCCCATCTCAACATATTCTTTCATAATCACAAAAGCAAAGAAAGACAAACATAGCAAACCACTGACTTTGAAAGCTTTTTAAAGTTGTTTATCACTGGGTAAAGTAAGTCATGTGGTCATTTCTGCTTTCAACTGAGAGTGATACTTCAGGGAAGGATAAAGAGTATTTCCAAACAGCAATGGTGCTACCACTTGCAGTTTATAATCCCAACAGTTAAATCTAGTGGTAGTTGAACAGCTGTGTAAGATTAGCAAAGGAGTAAGTTATACAAAAGTCAGGATAATATTACCTCCAGTAATATGCTTTGAATGGTACTAGGCACATGGACTAGTGAACTGAATGTAGGAAGTGATTTTGAAGAATTTTTGTTACAGAAATTTAAACTCTGTTTAAATTGTTAATTCACAGTCTGTCAAATTTTGAATATAAGAATGCTTATCTCTACTTACAAATTTTTTCTGGGAAGTTAAGGGATACACATGATGTTGAACTAAGGATCTTTTTGTATGCAATGGAAAATGCATTTCTCCATATTTTTCCTGTAAGTATGTATAATACAGAAGTAGTTAAAGAAGAGGAAAATCATACAGAAAAACATATTGATAAGTATTGCAGTAGTTAACTGGGAAAAATCAATATCACTTTTATTTTGAATAATTTTATAATGTTAAGTTATAAAGTATGTTACTGCCAAAGGAACTTTGAGTATGCATGCATCCAAATACTACTGTATCTGATGTCAGGAGAAATAGGCTTTATAAACAGGTGTAGTGGTACATGTCTGTAATCTCAAATACTTGGGAGGTGGACACAGGAGGATTGTAGTCCAAGGCATGAAACCCTATCTAAACCAGACTGGTAGAGGAAAGAGCAGATGAAATGGGGAGAATGATGGAAGAAGGGATCAAGATACACTATACATATAAATGTTAAATTATAACCCTCTTGTACAATCACTTGAAGATAAGAAATAAAAATATTAAAAAGCAAATGACTGGTGGGTTAATGAAGTGGTAAGCATGCGGCCCTAAGTTGAACCTCTTGTACCACCAAAAAAGTGGTTTTTATATAAAGGTATTTCTACTAAGCATGTCTATTCATATGTCTCCTTATCTTCCTCCTACAGAACTTAATAGAAGTATTTTAAAAGAATACTCTACCATGGCCTCAGCAGTCATTAGCTCTGTTCTCACCACTGCTTCTCGTTTTGCCCTGTTACAAGTAGACAGTGGCAGTGGTTCTGATTCTGAGCCTGGAAAAGGCAAAGGTCGTAATACTGGAAAGTCTCAAACTCTGGGAAACAAATCAACTACAAATGAGAAAAAGAGAGAGAAAAGAAGAAAAAAGAAGGAACAGCAACAGAGTGAAGCAAATGAGGTAGCAATTATAATTATGTTGTCTGCTTTCCTGTAAACATCATAGCAAGAACTATCTTGTTCACCCACATATTCATTGTACCTGGTCCATAGGTACTCAGTAAGTATTACTTGAATGAAGGGATAAAAATGTATGGTACTTAAAAGTCAAATGTAATAGAGAATATTTTTGAAAATGTCTTATTTTGTTTACTATAGAAGCTTGTGTCTTCATTCTAAAAAGTTTAAAATAGACTGGCAATGGTGATAACACACCATGTAATCCCAGCAGTAAGAAACTAAGGTAGGAGGATTGTGAGTTTCAGGGTAGCCTGGGCTGCATAGAAAAATGCTATTCCTCTAAAACCAAAAGAATAAAATGGAAAAGGAAAAAGAGGAGAAGAGAGAAGAAAAGGGAGAAGGGGAAGGTAAATGGATGGGAGGAAGGAAGAAGAGGGAAAAGGACAGAAAGTGACAGCAAAGGAGAGTAGGAAAGGGGAAAGAAAAGAAGAGTAAAAAAACAAGCTTGGGGGCTGGGAAGGTGGCTCAGTGGTAGAGCACTTGCCTTGCATGCATGAGGCCCTGGGTTCGATTCCTCAGTACCACATAAGTAAAAAAGAAAAAAGCTGGAAGTGGCGCTGTGGCTCAAGTGGTAGAGCGCTAGCCTTGAGCTGAAGAGCTGAGGGACAGCACCCAGGCCCAGAGTTCAGGCCCCACGACCGGACCCCCCCCCAAAAAAAAAACAAGCTTGGCACAATGATAAAACACTTATAGTTCTAGTTATTTAGGAGACCAAAGTGGGACAGGTACATTTGAGCCCAGGTGTTCAAGGCCAGCCTCAGAAATATTGTAAGATTCTGTTCTCAAAATTAATAAAAAACAAAAACTTCAAACCTATTTTAGGTACCTAAGTCAGCAAAATATTTTAAAAATACCAATTTTAACAAATCATTAGATTTATTAACTGAATTTTTAATATGTTTTATAGCTCAGGAATCTAGCTTTTAAGAAAATTCCCCAAAAATCCTCTCATGCCATTTGTAATGCTCAACATGAGCTCTCATCGTCAAACCCAGGACAGAAGGAGTCACGAGAAGAAAACTGGCAAGAGTGGAGACAAAGAGATGAACAGGTACAGCTAAGTAAAGTTGCTCTCCTTTGTTGCTCAGTGAGTTGATGGATTTTTCAGATGGTAGAGCATTCAAATCCATGTCACCACTATTCTGAGGAGCAATTTGTAAGGAGTATTTTGTAAATGCTCCTCAGTTTGTATTGAATAATTCAATTTTTTAATCTAGAAAATCACCTTGTACATTGATTATTTACATTGATTTTGGCAATTTAGAGAAGTTGTAGTAGATTGTGTGTGTGTGTGTATGTGTATGTGTAGGTGTAGGTGTATGTGTATGCTGAGAATTAATCTAGGATGTCCAGTATGCTAAGTACACACTCTTGAGCTACAACCCTATTTTCCTATATTTCATTTTGTTAATTCCTCTGCCTTTGTACAAATGGAATGATACTATAGTGGAGGACTATGGTTAAATACTCCAAAATGTCTTAAAACATCATATTTGTAGGGTTAGAGGCCTGGTATTAAAAATATCTAGTGATAATTTTGCTTCAAAAGAATTTGGGCTGAAGATAAAATCTCAGTGGTTAGAGCACCTGCCAGGTTGTACAAAGCCTGGGTTTCTGTTCCTAGCATTATAATAGGGGGAAAAGGCTTTGAATAGATACTTGCTTACCTTTTTTCTTTTCTTCCCCTCTCTCTCGCCTCCCTTTTCCTCTCAATTTCCTCTGCTCCTTCCCCCCCCCCCGCCTTCTTTTCCTTCTTCCTCTGTCTTTATTTTTTGGTGCCAGTACTGAGGCTTGAACTTTAGCCTGAAGTTCTTTGTTAGCCTTTTCTCTCATGGCTGGTATTAGTCAAGAAATACTCATTTTTCATTTAGCTGGGAACTGGGGCTCATACCTGTAAACCTAGCTACTCAGAAAGCTGAGATCTGAGAATCACTGTTTGAAGCCAGCCCAGCAGAAAAGTCCCTGAGAAACTCTCATCTCCAATTAACCATTCAACCCAGAAGTGGCTCTGGGGCTCAAGTGGTAGAACACTAGCCTTGAGCACAAAGAGGCTCAAGGACAGTGCCCAGACCCTGAGTTCTAAGCCCTACAACCAACAACAACAACAAAAAATGACTCATTTTTCATTTCATAACTTTGTGTCTGTAATGCATCATTGTGGGAAAATAGTATTATTCCTTCCTCATCTTTGCATAGATATATGTATATTAGAAGTCTGTTTTACATTTGAATGGGGTGGGTTTCATGTGGTATATGATATATATTGATATGTAGCTGGGCTCCAGTGGCTCCTAGCTACACAGGAGGCTGAGATGTAGAGGATAAAAATTTGAGTCAGCTTGGGCAGAAAAATTCTCAAGACCTCATCTCCAATTAACCAGCAAAAAGCAGGGCTGTAAGTGTAGCTCAAGGAATAGAGCATCAGTTGAATAAGCGACTGGAACAAGACTGGAACAAGTGTAAGGCCCTGAGTTCAAACTCCAGTACTATCCCCCCCAATATGTGAATTATATTACAGTAAAGCTTTTAAGATGATACATAAGCCATTGTTTTCATTATATTCCTAATTTTTACTAATTTAATATTAAATCAAAATTAAGAGACATTGTTTATCAGTAACTGTTGACTAAATATCTATATGTTTCACCTTTTTTATTCATAATACATTACTATTTATTCCAGTGAACTTTTTGTTTTGCTGGTACTAGGGTTTCAACTCTGATTTTATCCCACTCTTAAGTGAAGTGTCTGCTAGCATGCACACAATAGCAATTTCTTTCTCACATGGTATTCTCCAGTGATAGAAGTCTTAATAGCTTGTTCTAGTTTTGTAAACATGATACTTAATGTTAGCTTCACAACTGGTATAATAAAGTCCTTTAGCAAAAATAGTTTGACATGTACCTCTTTTCCCTATTAAGGAATGCAGCTTCAAATGAACACTATTTTGGGCCATTTTGTAGAGGGTGGTATTGGTGTTGGAGTTCAGAACCCTGTGCTTGCTACATACATGCTCTACCACTTGAGGCATGCTAAAAGCCCCTTTTGCTTTTTAGGTTATTTTTCAGATAGGGTCTTGGTTTTTGTTTTGTTTTGTTTTGTTTTTTGCCTGGGCCAGCCTTAAACTTTGGTTCTTCCTTATCTTCTGTCTCCTTATCTCTTAGGACAAAAGCATACTCAGTCTGCTTGTTTTATTCAGATGAAGGTATATCTCTTTTTGCCTGGGCTGGTCCCAAACAGCAGTTCTCTGGTTGCTGCTTCCTGAGTAGCTTAGACTACAGGTGTCAGCCAGTGTTTTCAATTCTTTAACAACAAAATTCATTGCTTTTGTGTTGGAAAGCATTACCCCATACTTGTCTTAAAAAGACTTCTATAGGTTACTGGCATTATTACAAAATGGAACAAAAAGTAATTATGTCTTCAGGCCACTAGTATGATCAGGTTTTGTAGCAGGTGGCTAGGAGCAAATGGATGTATGACTTGATAAATGAACATCTCAAATATTCATTATCTTAATTTTCTATTTATAATATTTCTTTTCACCTGTTTATGTGACATCACTTCATAGCAGACAAATTTATATTCTAAATTCACTGTGTTAATTCCTATTTTAAATTTATTTATTTTTTTTGGGGGGGGTCCAGTCATGGGGCCTGAACTCTGGGCCTGAGTGCTGTCCCTCAGCTCTTCAGCTCAAGGCTAGCGCTCTACCACTTGAGCCACAGTGCCACTTCCGGCTTTTTTCTTTTTGCTTATGTGGTGCTGAACCCAGGGCCTCATGCGTGTAAGTGCTCTACCACTGAGCCACCTTCCCAGCCCTAAATTTATTTTTATAAGTTGGATTATTTATGGCTTTTTCATTACCATTTTTAACCCTTCAACAACTCATTGGACGATTTTTATTATTTAGAGATACAATAACACATATAACAAAAATTTAGGCAAGTAAAATCAACACTAAAAAGACTTAAAAAGGGCTGGTAGTGTCACTTAAGTGGTAGAGTACTTGCCTAGTAAGCACAAGATTCAGTACCACCCCCAAAATAAAACTTAAATAACTTAGCCGAGATGAACAAAATGTGTTTGTTTTTTTTAGTGTGAAAAGCCACTGTATACGGTTTTTGTAGACATCTTCTAAAATTATAATGTTATAATAAGAGTTCTTGGAAAATAATTCTGCTGATTTACACTTTGAAAAATTACTGGAGGACCACACATATTACTCACATATTAATCAGCTGGGTGCATGTATTAGATGTCTTCAATGCCATACACACACACATAATTTTAAAATGGCATATTGTACATATTAAGGCAGTATAGTGCAATATTTCAGTGATTGTGTATAATGTGTACTATTACTGGCATATCACAGGAAACATCATTTCTTTGTGTTGAGAACATTCAAAACTGTGTTGTTTTCTGTTTGATATTTTAGATTTAAATAGATAAAATTGTTAGGGTATTATTAAAGCATACAATTAGTTGTTGTTGGTTTTTTTTTGTCAGTTGTGGGGCTTGAACTCAGGGCCTGGATGCCATCTTTGAGTCTCTTTGTGCTCAAGGCTAGCACTCTACCCACTTGAGCCACAGCAACACTTCCAGTTTTTGATTGGTTAATTGGAGATAAGTCTCACGAGGATTTTTCTGCCCAGACTTTGAACTGTGATCTTCAGACTCAGCCTTCTAAGTAGCTAGGATTACAGGCGTGAGCCACCAACATCCAGCTACAATTAGTATTTTTATATCTGGTTCCAAAATATTTACCATCCTAGAGAGCTCTCATTAGTTCTTTATACTCTGATCACAAACCCTTTGGGTTTGCTGTAGGTTTGCATACAGGAGTGGGGTATATCTGGCCCAGAGGCCCTATAAAGGCTGAAAAATGATTTGGTACATGACGTGACAGGCATATAGGCTCCTTGTCCATTGCCTGAGGTATATCTGCCTATATTAATAATTTTGTATGGGCTATAATGGTTTCATAGATATCTAGATGGCCCTCAACAGAAAAGGGTTCCCTACTCCAATAAAAGTGTTTCATTAATAGATGGGCAATGGGAGTCAATGAAGGGAGTTAAGTAAAGAGGCACATGTCAGTATGTTCTTCAATCTAGAGTTGTGTCCAACTCTAGGATAATGAAAGTGTTAACTCTAAAATAATGTAAGTGTTCAGAGTATGTTCAGTGTAGTCTAGGGTAAGCTATTACATTTAGTAGGTCAATAAATTAGGTATATTAAGTGTATCATGATGTTTTTCAACTTAAGATGGGTTTAATGTTGATTTAATGCAATGGTTAAGTCTAGGAGTACTATATAAGATTTGTTCTGAAAATCATGATTTTATTCATATTTTATTGTTAAGGCTTATTAGAGCCCTAGTCTATCTAGTTCTTTATATATACCTACTGATTAGACTAACAAGTATGTTTAAAGCAATTATGATAGAGAATTAAGAGAATTTGTAGTCATGTTTCTTGTCATATGCCATGGTTCTTCTGTTATGGTTCATCTTGTTTTTCTTTGAGTCTTTGATTTTTTAGTATTTCATATTTAATGAGTATTCCAAAACCTGCTAAGTCCTTATGAGATAGCTTTCGTTACATTCTTCAATGTGCAAATATATATTTGCCAGTACCAAGGTTTGAACTCAGGGCCTTTTACTTGCTCAGCTACTTCAGCCATGCTGCCAGCTTGGCTTTATGGTTATTTTGTTTTTGTTTTTTGTCAATCATGGGGCTTGAACTCTGGGCCTGGGTGTTATCCCTCAGCTCTTCAGCTCAAGGCAAGGGCTCTACCACTTGAGCCACAGCGCCACTTCTGGTTTTCTTTTGCTGGTTATTTTGAAGTTGTAGTCTTGGAGACTTACATGCTTGAGCTGGTCTTTCAAATCTCAGCCTCCTCATGCTAGGATTATAGGTGTAAACCACTGGTACTTAGCTTTCACTGCTGTTTTTTGGTCTTGGTGATTTACCTAGACACATTGGTTTTGGATTACATTCTTGTGTATATCTTAAAACTTCCTTATATTAGTATTCCTCTTACTCTGTTCTCTTGTTCACTAGCTTAGTAGAGTATCAGAATATATGATATACATGAAATAATAAATCTTAATCCCTAATTTTGTATGTGCGTGTCTTGGAGCTTGAACTCAGAATCTGAGTGCTGCCCCTGTGCTCTTTTGCTCAAGGCTAATACTCTTACCACTTGCCATAGCTCCACTTCTGTAGTGTTGTGGACTTCCTATCCTGGCTGGTTCCAAACTGCAATCCCCAGATCTCTCAGCTTCCTGAGTAGTTAGGATTTAAACGTGTGTGTGTGTGTGTGTGTGTGTTGTGGACTTGTGTGTGTGTGTGTGTTGTGGACTTCCTATCCTGGCTGGTTCCAAACTGCAATCCCCAGATCTCTCAGCTTCCTGAGTAGTTAGGATTTAAACGTGTGTGTGTGTGTGTTCTAGCTTTTGTGCTCAAGGCTAGTTCTCTACCTCTTGAAGCACAATTCCACTTTTCAGTTTATGGTGAAAAAATGGAGATGAGTGTCTTAAAGATTTTCTTGTCTGGGCTGGCTTCAAACCCCAGATCTCAGCCCTGTGAGTAGATAGGTTAACAGGCGTGAGCTACCCGTGCCCAGCCTAAATCCCTAAATTTCAAGGAGTGTAACTTGATTTTACCCTACCTAAACCATCTTACTTTCTACTATTCTGTGATATACAAAAAAGGGAGTTATTTTTCCCCTAAACTTATATGTGTGTATGTGTGTGCCTGTGCACACATGTGCATGTCAGTACTGAGGCTTGAATTCAGGGCTTCATGTTTTTTCACTCAAGGCTGGTACTCTACCATTTGAGCCAACCTCCACTTCCAGCTTCTTATTGGTTCATTGGAGATAAGACTCTAGTGGACTTTTCTGCCTGAGCTGGCTTTGGACTGCAGTCGAGATTTCTGCCTTCTGAGTAGCTAGGATTATACGTGTAAGCCACCAGTACCCAGAATTGTCTAGTTTTAGAAAGTTTAAATTTAAATTGTATTTACTTACTTGTACAGTAGTTTGTGTTAATAATGAAAAAATAAATTTGGCTGGGCATGGTGGTGCACCCCTAGTATCCCATTTTCTTGAGAGGCAAAGACAGAACCATTGTGACTTCAAGGCTGTCATAGGCACAGTCAACAAGAACTTGTCTTCCTGCTCCCCCAAAAAATGCACAAGTGAAGGAGATGGGGGAATGGCTCAAATGATAGAACACTTTACTAGTATATTCAATCCCCAGTATCACAAGTAAATTTAATGGACTGTGATATAGCTCAGTGATAAAATTCTTGCCTATCAGCCCAGCGCTGGTGGCTCACACCTATAATCCTAGCTACTTGGGAGGCAGAGATCTGAGGATCACGGTTCAAAGCCAGCCTGGGCAGGAAATTCTGTGAGACTCTTATCTCCAATAAACCACTAAAAAACTGGGAGTGGCACTGTGGCTCAAGCAGTAGAGCTCTTGCCTTGAGCTGAAGAGTGCAAGGACAGTGCCCAAGCCCAGAGTTCAAGCCCTGTGACCGACAAAAAATAAAAAAAAAAATTCTTGTCTATTATGTGTAAAGCCATAGGTTCCATTACTTTTGCTGAATATAAACTACTACAGTTAGAATCAAACATGAATATAAACTTAAAACTACTGTTAAAATCAAACATGAATACAAACTCATAAACTACTGGATGTAGTTGGTTGTACACCTGTCATCCTAACATATGTGAATCATGCCCCTATTTCTAAAACAACCATCAGAAAGTAGGGCTGGAGGTATGACTCAGTGGAAAGAGGCCTGCCTAGCCTAAGGAGTTCAAACCTAGCACTGCCAAACAACAAAAACAAAAATTTCAAAAGTTGTAAGCTTGTGCTTTGGAATATTCTAAAAAATACAGGATTCCCTAATATCGCATGGTTAAATAACTTTGAAGAACTGAAATATTTTTTAACATATTTGTTTTATTTTTCCAGTACATATTATCACATCATGGTTATTTTGCTACTGTGGTGTAATATTGCCTGTATTGTGAAACCTTTTTTTTTAGCTGACATCTGAAATGTTTGAAGCAGATCTTGAGAAGGCATTGTTGCTAAGTAAATTAGAATATGAAGAGCACAAAAAGGTATTTGTGTGTTTATTGACTTCGATATTTTTAAAGTTCTTAGGTAGTCCAAGGTTAGAACTAATCTTCCTAAGTTTCACATAAACCTTTTCCTTTGGGACTTCAGTGGTAGAGTGCTTACCTGGAATGTGTCAGGTTCTGGCTGATTTGCAGCACTGAAAAAATGGGTTTATTGTAAAAATTCATTATTGTAACAAAATATTGTCAGGAACTTTTAATAATAGGATTCTTTGTTTGAGAGAAGAGAAAAGTAGGCTGAGTTTTTAATCTGATGATACAGAATGTTTAGAATTTCTCCACCCAATCTTATTGAAAGAGGAGTAAAATTCACAGTGATTCATGTAAATTTTAAGTAAATTTTAAATTTAAATTTATTTAAGTTTTTAGAAAATAAGTAGATATAAAGACGCTGGGGGTATACTCAGTGGTAGGATATATGTTTAGCATATATGTGGCTCTGGATTGGATTCAAGCTCTTAAGTGAGTACTGGAGTACACTGCCATCAAATAAGAGACTTTGCCAGAGATATACTACAGTAAAGCAAATAAAAGGCTATTTCTGATACTTTGGCCTTGCAAACTCAGCATTTATCACTGAGCTGTGATAGCAACCTGTGTATTGAAATGCATTTTACAAATTAGAAATATAAAAGTAAAAAGTAATGTTGATATTGTTTATATATTTAAATTGTTTGAACATTGATTATATTCATACTATTAGATATTGTAGTCCTTGACATTTATTGGTTTTGGGGTTTTTTTTGGTCGATTGTGGGGTTTGATCTCTGGGCCTGGGTGCTGTCCCTCAGCTCTTCAGTTCAAGGCTAGCACTCACCACTTGAGCCACAGTGCCATTTACAGTTTTCTGAGTGGTTTATTGGAGATAAGAGGCTCACAGACTTTCCTGCCCAGGCTGGCTTTGAACTATGATCCTTAGATCTCAGCCTCCTGCGTAGCTAGAATTACAAGTGTGAGCTATTGGCATCCAGCCTCATTTGTGTTTTTTGCTTACCAAATTTATTCAACTTGTTATGACTCAGTGGTTGGACATAGATGGTCCCTTTTATGTTTAAGGCTATTTTGGCCCTGTCATTAATGTCCTTTTTTTTTTTTTTTGGCCAGTCCTGGAGCTTGAACTCAGGGCCTAGGCACTGTTCCTGAGCTTCTTTTGCTCAAAGCTCACATTCTATCATTTGAGCCACAGCACTACTTCCAGCTTTTTTTTCTGTTTATGTGGTACTTAGGAATTGAACCCAGGGTTTCATGCATGCTAGGCAAGTACTCTACTATCCACATTCCCAGCCCCTGCACATTAATGTCTCTAAGAAGAAAGGAAAATGAAAATTCACAGATGATTTTTCTACTTCTCAATGGAAAAGTTTAAAAGTTGTCAGTGAAGTGCATATGTATAATATATATGTTTCCTGTTATTCTGGGAATCAAGACTGATGATAATCTTTATTATTATGTGTCCATTTCGATAAAAAGTAAGCAGTTACAAAAATGGATACAGCTTACTTTATGAGTACATTGTTTAAATACACTTTCAGGTTATACTTGAAAAGTCTTCCTGTGTTTCTCAATAAGATTTTTTTAGTCTAATAGAATATCAGATATCATGCTATAATAATTTGTTGTTAGATACATGTTAAGATTCCAAAACTAAAAAGGTTAGCTATATTCTTAGAGGGAGAATAAAATGAATGGTGTCGGTAAAATATCATGCAGACAATTTTCTTGTTATAGTCAATAGGGCTAATACCTAAAAAGCACTATTGGTTTTATTAGACAAAAAAAGATTATTAAGAAAAGGAGGAACTCCTTTTGTATACATTAGCCAGTTTTATGTGATTACATTATCGTTAGTCTATAGGTTCTAAGTCAATAGTCTAATAACATAATTATTTTAGCTAAGAATTTTCTCATACCATAAGTTGGAGATGCTGTTTTTTAAATCTTCGATCATACATTCAGCAAATTACTAGTTAAAATGTGATTACTAGTCAAAATGTGATAGACACATAATACAAAGAAAAAGATATTCTCAGCTTAGTTTAGCAGAGGGCAACATGCATATAATTCTAGTACATAGTACTGATACATGTAAATGTAGTCTTAGTAGAGTGGGAATTAAGGCAAAAATGTAAGACTTCTCAGAACCTTAGAGATGAGTTTTCAGAAAAGATTTCTTTCTTTTTTTGGGGGGGAGGGGTCCGGTCGTGGAGCCTGAACTCTGGGCCTGGGCGCTGTCCCTCAGCTCTTCAGCTCAAGGCTAGCACTCTACCACTTGAGCCACAGCACCACTTCCGGCTTTTTTCTTTTTGCTTATGTGGTGCTGAGGAATCGAACCCAGGGCCTCGAGCATGCAAGGCAAGCGCTCTACCACTGAGCCACCTTCCCAGCCCCCCAGCTTTTTTTCTTTTTGCTTATATGGTGCTGGGGAATTGAACCCAGAGCCTCATGCATGCAAGGCAAGCACTCTACCACTGAGCTGCCTTCCCAGCCCCCAGAAAAGATTTCTTAAAAGCTTTTAGCTTTGTTGAAAGTTCACAAATGAAAAAGAGGAAAACAGCCTTTCTGAGAGACAATGTATCAAGCATGCAAGATATATATGTATGCGATAGAATACAACATATTTGAGAACATATAATTTTGGGACCTAAACTTACTGGAGTTTCAGACAGATGGATAGAATATAAAGAAGTTCATGTACTGTGCTAAGAAGGTTGGGTCTTATATATCTGTTGACAGAAAGCTATTGGGTTTTTTAATTTTGATTGATTTTAGGTTTTTATTTTACAAATTCATGTTATAACAGTATAAAAGGTGGTCTGAGAGACTAAAATTAGATATTGTTTTAATGGCCAAACAAAAGAAAATAGGGAAATGACAGAAAGTACTAGGAAAATAGAATAGATTTTAGAAATCTTTGTGATAAATTCAGTAAGATCTAGTAATTGATTTAATAACTATTTTTATATAACATATATGAAGAGTAGGCAAGGAGATTCATGATAATATGAGAGTTCTGGCTTTGAAAGTTGTATAGTGATCTACCAAGGAATTTAGTAGAAGATTGAGCAGGGAAGCAGTAGTTTGATGGAAAGATAAATTACATATAGTATTGAAAATGCTTGTTGACCATTCCAACTGAGTTGGAACTTTAAATGTTGAGACTGAAGAAAGCCTAAGAAGGATAGGTGAAGACTGAGGTATTGGTACACAGCAGCTACTTTTGTGGTTGAGGGTAGGGTGGATTGAAATTAGAATTTAAGGCCTAGTCCTTGCTAGGGTGGTGCTCAACCACTGAACCATTTCTGTAGTCCCGCAGTTACATTTTAAAGAAGAGAGTTGGGAAATAAAACTAGCAAAAATGATTTAGTTGTTGTCAGAAATATAAAGTGTAAACCAAGAGTTAGCAGAAAAAATGGCTTTAATTTAGAAAACAAATCCGGATTTCAGTAGAGTGAGAATGAAAATTTGGTCCTAAAAGGAAGAAAGAACAATAAGGGGTTATAGAATAAGATGTACTTTATTTAATGTTTTAAGTAAAAGATGAAAGTTTAAACTTGTTTAAAGTTGTGAGAAGTTGAGCATTTAAGTCAGTATTTTATATAGTTTGACTGGCCTGAGTTTTACGTTTTTATTTGCATTTACTTAGTAATTACCTTTAAGTAGTTTTATTAAGAGGTTTTAATTAAATCAGTTTATAAATACAATGATGTGTAATCAGTGGGTGATTAATGTCACTCCTTCCATTGTACCCATCTTTCTTAACCAATTTGCCTGTAAAACTTCAAAAAACATATTACCTATTGATGAATTGATTTTATAAGTCATAAACCAAACTTAATTCTTTTTTAGGAGTATGAAAATGCTGATAATGCTTCAGCTCAGTCAAAAGTTACAAATAAAAAAGATAAAAGAAAGAATCATCAGGGAAAGGATAAACCTCTCACAGTATCACTAAAAGATTTTCAATCTGAAGGTAATATATATACAATATCTGTTATGATACAAGAACTATTTAAAATAAAATCATTTTATATTTATAAGTAATAACATTTTAAAAATAAGTAAAAATGCTGGGTGCTGGTGGCTCATACCTATAAACCTAGCTACTCAGGAGACTGAGATCTGAGGATCACAGTTCAAAGCCAGCCTGGGCAGGAAAGTCTGTGAAACTCTTCAATAAACCACCAGAAAACTGGAAGTGGTACCGTGGCTTAAGTGGTAGAGTGCTAGCCTTGAGCTGAAGAGCTGAGGGACAGCACCCAGGCCCAGAGTTCAAGCCCCACAACTGACAAAAAAAAAAAAGTAAAAATGATTTTCTAATATATTTTAGAGGTAAACATGTGTCTTAATCTATTTGTGCTGGTCTAATAGAACACCTGGAACTGGATAGTTCCAACAAACTATGTATATATGTATGTATTTATTTATTTTGCTAGAACTGAGGCTTGAACTCAGGGCCTTACACTTGAGGGCTCTTTTGTACAAGGCTGGTGTTCTACCACTTAAGCTACAACCTCCATTTCTGCTTTTTCTGGTTAATTAGAAATAAGAGTCTCATGGATTTTTCTGCCCAGGGTTGGTTTTGAACCTTGATTCTCAGATCTTAGCCTCATGAGTATCTAGATTACAAGCTTGAGTCACCACTATCTGGCCTAACAAACAAATTTATTGACTCACAGTTCTAGAGGGAGGGAAGTTCAATATGAAGGTGCTAGCCTCTGTCCAGGACCTTCTTGCTCTCTCATTATGTGATAAAAGGCAAAAGGGTAAGCAAGAGGGTATCAAATTCACCCTTTTCTTTTCTTTTTTTTTTGGGGGGGGGGTACGGTCGTGGGGCCTGAACTCTGGGCCTGGGCACTTTCCCTCAGCTCTTCAGCTCAAGGCTAGCGTTCTACCGCTTGAGCCACAGCGCCATTTCCGGCTTTTATCTTTTTGCTTATGTGGTGCTGAGGAATCGAACCCAGGGCCTCATGCATACAAGGCAAGTGTTCTACCACTGAGCCACCTTCCCAGCCCCAAATTCACCCTTTTCTTATGGCACCAGTCCTAGTTCTGGGGTAGGAGTGAGAGGGAGGGGCATCATAGTTCTATCACCTCCTAAAGGTTGTATCTCTTAATAGTGTTTTTGGTGGGGTTTTTTGTTGTTTTGTCAGTCATGGGGCTTGAACTCTGGGCTTGGGTGCTGTCCGTCAGTTCTTTAGCTCAAGGCTAGTGCTCTACCACTTGAGCCACTGTGCCACTCCCATTTTTTTGGTGGTTTATTGGAGACAGGAGTCTCACAAACTTTCTTGCCCAGGCTGGCTTTGAACCATGATCTTCAGATCTCACCTCAGTAGCTAGGCTTACAGGCATGAGCCACCAGTGCTCAGCTCTTAATAGTGTTTTAATGACAATTGTATTTCAACACAGGTTTCAAAGAGGATAAATATTTAAACCATAGCAATCTGTTTGGAAATAACTACTTAGAGGCTAACATAATCAAAATCAGTCTTTATAAAACCCCATGATTTCCAATAAAAATCTTTTTTGTATTTCTTTTTTTTGGGGGGGTCTGATCATGGGGCCTGAACTCTGGGCCTGGGCTCTGTCCCTCAGCTCTTCAGCTCAAGGCTAGCGCTCTACCACTTGAGCCACAGCGCCACTTCCAGCCTTTTTCTTTTTGCTTCTGTAGTGCTGAGGAATTGAACCCAGGGCCTCATGCATGCAAGGCAAGTGCTCTACCACTGAACTACCTTGGCAGCCTCTTTTTTGTATTTCTGAATTTGTCCCTTTTCTAAAATTTAGTGAAAATTCAATTTAACATTTGTAGGTCTTTAATGATTAAAACATGTTATATTGCTGGGTATTGTGTTGCATATCCCAGTGCTTGGAGGCTGAGTCAAGAATTATGAATTCTAGGAGCCTATTCTACATGATGGGACCCTGTATCAAAAACCTATTATTAATATTAACGTCCTTCTATATAAAGTATGGATTACACTGGATAAGAATAATATATTTCTGCTTACAAACATTATTAGTCAACCTTTTCAGTTTATCTAGAATGGCATATTAGAATATTAATAAAATATATTAAGATGAAAGTAAAAAACAAAAACACTATATTTTCATTCATTATTGAATAGTAAAATACAGAAGAAACCGTTCCATCAAACATTTGAAGACAAAATTATGCACTGGTGGCTCACACTTATAATCCTAGTTACACTGGGGGCTGACATCTGAGGATTACAGTTTGAAGTCAACCTGGGCAGACAAATCCCAAGAGTATTTTCTCCAAGTAGCCAGAAAAAACTCAGAACTTTAAAAATTCTTACAATTACTTTATTTTTTTACAAAAAAATAATGTCTTGTTCTTTTTTTTATTTACAGATCACATTAGTAAAAAGACTGAGGTAAGTTTTATTGTAATAATCTTAAATTCTAGAAAACTGATGATTTTAAGATTAAATTTTGGTAAAGTCTTATATGAGAGAGACATTTAAAGGACAACTCATAGGTTTGTTGTGAATGAACTCATTATAATGAATTAAAATACATGACAATAGTATAAAAATATTATTTGTGTCAGGTGCCAGTGGCTCATACTTGTAATAATAGCTACTCAGAAGGCTGAGATCTGAGGATCAGGTTTCAAAGCCATCCCAGACAGAAAAGTTCATAAAACTCTTAGCTCCAATTAACAACCAAAAGTATCCAAAAAAGCAGAAGTGGAGCTGTGGTTCAAGTGATAGAGCATGAGCCCTAAGAAAAAACAAAACAAAATAGTGCTCAGGCCTTGAGTTCAAACAGCAGGACTGGTATGTGTGTGTGTATGTGTTATCATTTGACATTATACTAATTTGTGTATGTTTGTGAAAGCATGTGTGAGTTAAAAGGTTATTACGTTATTAAAATTAAAGGAAAAGTTATTTAATTTCTAACATTGTGTTTTAATCTTTATTAAAAACATATCCTTAAAGTTCAGAGAAATAAGCAGCACATGTTTTCCTCTCATATGCAGAAGCTAGATCTAAAGTATATCAGGACATGATAAATTGTGAAGGACTCTAGGCATTCACACACAATGAACTAAAGGAGGATACTCTTTGCTTATTTGGTAGGAACCCAAAGGTGTGATCCTCCCGTGTGTGTGTGTGTGTGTGTGTGTGTGTGTGTGTGTGTGTGCTGCTGGGATGGTAAAGAGGGTATTGTTTGTCTTTGTTTTTTTTGTGTTTTTTTGTTTGTTTCTTGGAGATTTTTTTCTTACTCATTTATCTGTCTTTGGGGGATAATGGAGGGCACAGAAATGGAGGGACAAAGTTGAACAAATACATCATAGACATTATGTTGAAAATGAACTATATAATTTGTAGGCAGGATGGGAGGGGGAAATGGAAAGAGAAAAGGAAGGGATGACATTGCCCAAAAAGAAATGTACTCATTACCTGACTTAGGTAATGGTAACTCTTCTGGAGATCACCTTAATAATAACAGTAAAATTTTTAAAAAACGGTGGGGAGGAAAGGGAAGGTAGGGGAATAATATGGTGTAACGATGCTCTATAGGAAATGGACTCATTCATTACCTTGCTCATGTAACCGTAACCCCTCTATACAATATCTTTAAATAAAAATATATATTAAGAGGGGCTAGGAAGGTGGCTCAGTGGTAGAGCGCTTGCCTTGTAAGCCTGAGGTCCTGGGTTCGATTCCTCAGCACCATATAAGCAAAAAGAAAAAAGCCAGAAGTGGTGCTGTGGCTCAAGTGGTAGAGCGCTAGCCTTGAGCTGAAGAGCTGAGGGACAGCGCCCAGGCCCAGAGTTCAGGCCCCACAACCGGACCCCCCCCCAAAAATATATATATATTAAGAAAAAAATTGCTAGGTGCTGGTGGCTCACACCTGTAATCCTAGCTACTCAGAGGCTGAGATCTGAGGATCGCGGTTCAAAGCCAGCCCAGGCAGGAAACTCCGTGAGACTGTTATCTCCAGTAAACCACTAGAAAACCGGAAGTGGCACTGTGGCTCAAGCGGTAGAGACTTACCTTGAGCTGAAGAGCTGAGGGACAGTGCCCAAGCCCAGAGTTCAATCCCCATGACCAACAAAAAGAAAAGAAAAGAAAAAAAAATTTAAAGAACAAACAAATATCCTGCTGGATGTGGTGGTATACACCTATAATCCAAGTACTCAAGATTCAGAGGCAGGAGGATTCTGAGTTCGACACCAGCCTAGGGGTACATATTGAGTTTAAGGTCAGCCTGGGTACATAGTAAGACCCTTCCTCCAAATACCAAAATCAAAACCAAAAAACAAAATCCCACAAGAAACCAACAAAAAAAACTCTTCCTATCTCAGGTATCTACCAACTTTAAGATTCAAGGAAAAGTGATTTAATTTCTAACATTGTGTTTTAATCTTTATTAAAAACATATCTCAGGTATTTTTGAAATTATGGAAATTGTAAAGTGATCTGTGAGCCTATAGATAGGGCCTATCAGAATGAGTAACAGTGATTATATTACCTTTTATCATTAGATAGTGTTATGGGTTTTTTCAAGATGTTACTACTGCTTCTACAAGCCTTTTATAATTAAGAGATATATTGTGAAATACCCTCTACCATTGAGAAAGAAATGTTAAGTTCTTTTGATTTTGTTTTTTTTAGTAATGGTTTCAAAGTTTCATTGTTCTCTTTCTACTATGTTTTCTTGTCAGTCATTCTGATTGACTTTTTTCATGGTCAACTAGCCCTCGATTTTGCTTTAGAATATTCTTATATGATCCCTTTTTTTCCGGGTATTTACTTATTTACTTGCCGTGTTAGGAAAATAAAATCCAAGTCTTAGAAAACCACTTTAGTCCTTAATTTCACATACATTAATTTATAGTTAAAAATCTCAAGTCCTTTGTTGGGGGGAGGGCGAAAACCAGGGTTGGAATTCTAGGCCTCATACATGCCAGGCAAATGTGTTACCACTTGAGCCCCTCATCTTTCTTGCTTTAGTTTTATTTCAAATAGTCTCTAGTTTTTCCCAGGGCTAGACTCTTAATGCTCTCCTCCTACTTATAGCTAGAATTATAGGAATGTGTTGTATCACCATGCCTAGCTTTTGGGGAGTTAAGACCTCCAAGCAGGGCCCAGCAACTCAGAAGGCTGAGATCTGAGGATTGCAGTTCAAAGCCAGCCCGGGCAGGAGACTCCCTGAGACTCTTATCTCCAGTTAACCAGCAGAAAATGTGGAAGTGGCTTAAGTGGCAGAAGGTTCACCTTGAGATGAAGAGCTCAAGGACAGCGCCCAAGCCCAGAGTTCAGGCCCCACAACCGACAAAAAAAAAAAAAGACTTGAACCACCTCTCCCAACTGAGTTTTATACTTTTTGTATAGATGCTGAGGGGTACTTAAATTACATGCACATTCTTTTATGTCCTTGTCAGGTTGATTTTATCCTCATTCTCTTTCTACCTTAATTATGTGTTAATAATCTCAGTACTTTCTTTCTAGTCCTATTTCTTCCTACTCTCTCTCTCATGCTGAAAGAATAAAAAGGATATTTGCAGGAGTATGGAAGGAGACACAATTCCTCTTTCTCCTTTTCTTCCTCCTCTTCTCCTTTTTTCTTTTTGGTAATGCTAGGGTTTGAACTTAGGGCCTTGGCCTTGCTAGGCAGATGCTTTAGCATTTGAATTGTGCATGAGCCCTTTTTTGCTTTGGCTATTTTTCAGATAAAGTCTCTTGTTTTTGCCAGGGATTGCCTCAGACTTCAGTCCTCCTACCTGCACACCCTCATAGGTGGAATTGCAAGTATGACTTGCAAGTTGACTTTTCTTAATTAAATGTCCCAAGAGATGTTGCCTATTATTCCACCAATTTCTTTCAACTGCAGTTCCACTCCAGAACATCCTATGAAAATTATGGACAAGCAGAATTGGTAACAGAGTAGAAGTGCTTGTTATAACATGGCTTTATAAAACCTAATTAATCATGCCTTTTAAAGAATATTACTTAATTCTTAATGTTTTTTTAATATTAATATGCTACCTTTTCAAATGCTGTTACTTCTGGGAAGGGTATCTCCAGTTAACTCTTACCTTATCAGACCCACATTCATCCGTTCTTCCTGACTGCAGCCCTTCTAAGTATAGTTGTGTGGATTTAAATTTTCAGTGATCATTGATGTGTTTGAGTAGACTATTTGTGAATAAGTACCTAAGGAATTACAACTGCAGTTAGAGAAGGCTGAGGCATGCTGAGAGCAGTAGGAGAAAAAGGCTTTTCACAATATATACTTCGGAAGTATACAACAGAAGAACTAGCACACATAAATTAGAATAAATTAAAGCCCAAGCAAAAAGTTAGCAAAACCCCATCATAACCAATAAGCTGGGTGTGATAGTTCTCACCTGTAATCCAAGCAAGGCAGGAGGTAGAAACAGAAGGATGTAGATTTGAGCCTGCAGAGCAAAAATGCAAGTCTTTATTTGAAAGATAAAACAAAAAGGGTCAGAGGCATGGTTCAAGAGCACCTAATTAAGTAACCACAAAGCCTTGAATCAAGCCCCAATGCCAACCAAAAAAAAAATTCTGGGAGATAGTAGTTCTCTACAAATATAAATGTTTTAAGTAGAAAATATAAGGAATGTGCAGATTAAAAGAGATGAGAAATAACCAAATGCAATTGAAGGCCCTTCCTTCTTTCCTTGTTTCCTTTTCCCTTTCTTTCACCCTCCCTCTCTCCCTCTTTCTTTCTTTCTTTCTCTCTCTTTCTCTCTTTCTCTTTCTTTCTCTCTCTCTTTCTTCTCTCTTTCTTACGTGCTTGCTTTCTTGCTTTCTTTCCTGTTCAAGACCAGGATCATATCTGACATTTGCTTTCACTCCTTGGCTGATACTCTTACCACCTAAGCTAGGCCTCCTAACACCCTGAAGGCCTTTATTAGAATATTAATAAAAGACATTTTGTTGAAATTTAAGTACTGTATGAGCTATGTATATTATGATATTAAGGAATATGGTTTTATTAGTGTTAGGATATTATGGTTAAATTAGAATTTTTTTCTAGCTGCATATGTTAGAATTTTGAGATGAAATGTCATGGTGTCTCTCCTATAAAATACCTAAGCCATAAAAAGGAAAAAGATAAGAGACAAACCTTAACAATTGTTAAGTATAGAGTATGTGGCTGATAAAGTTATCATGTGAAAAAGCAAGCCAAATGAAGTTTAGCGACTTATCTGAAAAACAATTTTTTTAAAAAGATGGAAATGATAAACAGATGGTTACTTCTGTTGCAAGCAGGGAGATGAGGATAGGAAAAAGTACAAAAGGGTAGCAACACAAAGTATATAATGTTCTAGTTTTTAAAAGGAATAGTGTGGTTATAGAAGCCTTTTTTAAGAAAAAGGCTTTACAATCTTTAC